TAGGAATTAGGAAACTACTCAAACTAGGAAGTAGGAACTACCAAACTAGTAGAATACTAGTTCGGTTCGGGTCGGGTTGGTTTCGGTTTTCACGCAAGAAAACCAAAACCGACCCGAGATTTCGGTTTATGTATGTGCCCAACCCAAAACCGACCGGTACGGATGAAAACCCGGCCAACTCGGGTTAGGTCGGCCCAGGTTGGTCGGTTTGGTCGGATTGGGCATTCTTATGAACTACCCCCTTTGAATCTATGATGCCAAAAAGAGCTTTAACCTGTTTGAAGCAAAATTAATTACTTGGGCCTGAAGAACCAGGGCCTTTTCAAAGCCCAAAAACATCTGCCCAAACAATACACCAAAGCCCATTATTATTCTTGAGAGAGAGAGAGAGAGAAAGAGAGGCCTTACACAATTTCATTGCGTCGAATCCCCCATCAATACTACAGCTGAAAGAAAAGAAGGCCAAATAAACCAAGTATGTGGCCTAGCCAAAAAAAAAAAAAAAAGAAAAGAAAGAAAGTTATCCAGTGTTGCCAAATCCCATACTGTCAAGATTATTAAACCGCAACCAGGAATTTGAAAAAGCTATCAGATTAAGATGGTCGATGTTTCGTCCGATTTGAAAACCAATGTTTTCATATTTAGGAGGGAATATCGTTCATGGAAGAGAATTTGAAATGCGGCTTCGATCGTGTCCGTCATGTGTTTCAACATTCAAGTTTGAACCCATCTGCAATTAGGTAGTTCGTGCGTGCTTCTAAAAATTGAAGGAGGGAGTTTCAACATTCAAGTTTGGAATTGAACTAGTTCGTTGTTCAATTCCAAAAGTGAAGCAGAAGCAACACTGCAGCAGTTGCAATTAAGAATTCTTTGGATAGCAGAGAAGTGTTGTTAGGAAGGAAGGAAGGAGGAAGGAGGGACAACTAGTTCAACAATGGGTTGCGATCGACGCTTCAATTCACAGTTGCAATTAAGGTCTTCATTTGCCCTTATTCGCCCATTTAATTTTTAACCCACGAGGCATTCCTTATTTTGGCCCATCGAGGCCTTCTGATAAATGCCCATCAAGGCATTTCTTTTGGTTGACCCATTGAAACTCATTCCCTGTCTTAGACTAGCCCATGATGACCCACTTTTAGTTCCAATAACCAGCTCATGGAGATTTTTCTCTCCAAAAGAAGCAATAGGACAACAAGGTCAGCATGTCATCATCTATTTGCCACGTCATTAAACAGTGACCTTGTAGGTTGCTTAATCAAACACAGGAAAATCATTGTGATCCCATGTATTTGAGGGGCCACATTAGGTAACAACATAAGATTTGGTGGTTCAGATGTAATTAAGTTGTGATAAGATAATTAGGAGGATGAGAAATGAGAGATTTAAGATAGAATTTGTGTTAGATTAGGATTAATGGTTTAATCTTCATGTAATTCCAAGATTTTATAATTAATGAAATTGTTCAGCCTTCTCTGAGTTTTTTCAATATTAGTGTGTTTCTTTAATAGTTTGATTTTTAAACAGTAAACTAGTAAAGCAACTAAAGCAGCTGAAAGTGTGAAACTGATAAAAGAGACGGTGCACGTTCTAAGTTGAACATTGAAAGGAAGTGGTACACAAACACACAAAATTACAGGATACTAATCCATAAAAATAATATTATGAAATCCTTCCATCCTTGGAAATCATCAACTAGTATCCTTGTTTAACTTCTCAGCTAACTAGCTCCTACACCACACTTAGAATTCATAGAGGCAGGTACCATTGTCGCTCCTAGCAGTGGGATCGAAGTTCTTTGCAGCGGGATCAGTGCAACCTTCAGGGACAGGAACATTCACCTGCTGAGCAGCTTTGCCTGCAATTAACAAAACCAAACCTTAGATAAATCCTTCTTCACTCATACTACATATTTGTCTAAAAAGGCAGATGCAAACCTCCCATCAAGGCCTGAAGGATTAAGGGTTCTAACCATAGAAAGTTCCTCTCTTAATAGAATCCTCATTGGCATCTCCAAGAGCTGCCTCGCTCAAGTATTTGTCAGCCAACTGAACTCTCTTCACATTCTCCTGTTCTTGGACAAGCATGTTTCCATACTCGAGCAGCTTCTCAAGTGTCATCTTGGGCTGCTCGAATGTTGGGGGTCCCTCCTTTGAGTTCACCAGCTTCTTTCCAACGCTTTCGACTCCCACACCAGAGATCCACTTCCTCACCTCATCATCGTAAACTCTGGCTCTGAGGGCACCGAAGAAGTCTGCATCCCGGCAATTAATGTGATCAACTTAATACACCCAAATTCCCATGTATGCATGTATATATACAGTGTTATAACTTAATAATGAAGCTTAATTACCGATGGATTGTCCAGGGAAAGTGTCGACTAGTTTGACGATGTCGTCATTGGGGACATTGTCGGCCCTGAAGATACCAGTGCAGACACCAATTCTATCTTCGCGGGTGGGTGCCCAGTAGAACTTCTCCATACGACCGTCACGGATGAGAGGAGCATACAATGTGGAGAAGTCATTACCAGTGACGATGATGGGGACACGGGCGTTTTCTTCTTTGTTGTACATACCAGGGAGCTGAACGTTTGTTGGGTTGTCGGCAATGTTCATGAGGGTCGCGTTCACCATCTGGTTGTTTACTGTGTATTGGGTGGTTCCTCCAAGCCTACCGGCTCCTGCATCAAGATCGTTGATGAACAGGCAGCACATCTTTCCCTTGGCGATGATGTCCGCTGCCTCACGGTACCTTTGCCTGATCAATTTTGCGGGCTCTCCGGCGTTTCCACTTTCCAATTCTCCGGCACTCATCATGATGGGGCTGAAATATTCCATCACCATATAAGATGAAAATGTCTGAGCTTTAATTCGGAATCATAATTATTAATGGGTATCTCGACGTTAATAAGAAACTTCAATTTCTCCAGCTTAATTAGAACAATTGATTTGGGATGATATTCCTCCTAAAACTCTACTTCGATTTTTTATTGTGCAAGGTTTTGGAGTATTAACAGAACCAGACAGGGAGGGATGAACTCACTTGATTCCCATCTTGGCAAAGACGAGCTCACATTGGAATGATTTTCCCTGACCTTTGCCTCCCCAAATACCCAAGATAAGAGGAACCTGTATGTAACGAATTCAACAGAGCGGCAATTAATCAGAAACCCAGTTCACAGAATTCCGTGATAGTAAATGTAAAGCTAGTAGTGTTACATACCTTGATGTTGGGCAAGGTCATGTAATTCTTGGTGATGTGAACAACAAGCTTGTCCATGAAAGCGGGAGCTATGTAGAACCCGTCCATGTTGTTGTCCAAATTGTACCTGCAACATAGTTCGCCAACATATGATCAAGACAATAGTCCTTGGTTCCTGTCTGTGATTTAGCGCGATTGCAGAGAGAGAGAGAGAGAGAGGATCACGTACTGGCGAAGGCCTTGGCTGATGTACTCGTATGAACTCAAGACAGCATAGTGGGTTCCAGCGTCTTGAGGAGCTTGGAAGAGGGAGTCCACCATACCCTTTCCTCTGGTGATGTCCTGCTGGTCATCTGATATATCGTAGGCGAGGCCCCTCCATTTGTCCTTGTTGGTTTGCTTTGTCTCATCAATTTCTGCAACTACCTTGAAGCTTCCCGATGAAACCTTTGGCTGGGTGAAGCCAGAGCTCACCTTCTTCAAGTTGCTGCCAAAGAAGGCCGAGTTGGGGACTGAAGTTCCGGCACCAGAGCTGTGCAAGTTCAGCTGCATCAAAGGCAACCCCTTCTTTATATCCAATAAACCAACATGATTCAAATGGAATCGCAGATTCCATCTCTTTGAATTGAAACCCAGTCAGGCCCAAGAAAATTCAGAACTCATATATCAATTCAAGGACTGAATTCTGATGGTCACCCTCGAGAACACAAAATTCTACTAATGATCTTCAGACATTTTAGGAACAAGGAGATGAAATTGTACAACTCTGAGGTCTTGATACAAAACGAATTTAGATGAAATAAAAAAAAAAAAAAAAAAAAGAAAGGACTCGTGAAGCTAAAAGAGTTTAAAAACGAAGAATCCCAATGATTATATTTATATCGAAGAGAAAGCAAAGACAGACAAATGTAAGAGAGAAAAAAAAGGCGGGAAAAACACTATACCGGTGCCCTGTTAACAGATCCGATGGTTGAGATAGCAGTAGCCATTGGTAGTACTACCAGGATCCCACGGCTTCGATGGAATGGAGGCGCCGGAGAGAGCAGGAACGAACTGAAACCGCAGTGATCGTCTGATGAGATGAAGTGGTGAATGGGAAAGAGTTTTATAATAGTAGCTGAGTTTGAGTGTGTCAGAAAACAGAAAACCTGTGGATCAGCTTAAGGAATCCCCAACGGCCACACAATTCGGATTGCCCTGGTGACACGTGGCAGTCTCTAAAGAGGATAGCCGTTCTGCGATATATTGTCCAAAATGGAGGTTTCTGGGAACGAAGTGAGCTTTGCGGTTAGAGTTGAAGGTTTCTTATTCTCCACTAAAAAAAATGAGAATCTGGTTATTTTTGTTACCACACAAAGCTCTTCTCTTTGGAAAATTATGGGCTGCTGCTTTGTTTTTTTCTTTCCACGTTTGTATGGAACGGTAGAAATATATGTTATTTGTCTGTAAGTGCCACGTGTAGGGCGGATAATTATTTTCATTCTTCCTCGGATGATGCAACTGACCCATATTGTCATATTACAAGTTTACAACAGATTCCCACTGTTCACTTAAATTGTTCAATTTCCAAAATTATGGGCTGCAAGAAAATAACTCCTACATACCATCTTTCTTTTTTAGGTTGTTTTTTTATTAATTTAAGAGGAAATTTGCCCTTTTTTCCTTGGTGATGAACGAAATTCAATAAAAATATTTTTTTGGTTGAGAAATGTGACCTCTTCACCTCTTGTCAATATGGGTTTTGTCCAAATCATCCTGCATCCAAATAAATTTTCGCACTTTTATTATTATTATTTTTTGTGTATGAAATGTTATAGAGGAAGATACACATGAGATCCACTGGCCTTACCATGGAAAGTATATAGCTATGCAGGTTTTATTTTGATCCCACATTTCCATATTCAGAGGGATTGATGATTGAACATCTCATTAAAGATTAAACTGAGGTACAGAACGGTATGGAAAAACAGAATTCAAGTAGCTCACCCCACATGGTTGGGATTAAGAATCAGACCTTCATTACAATTGATGAGAGTTGGGATATTTGAATTATATTGGATTTTCCCACAAGTCCTCTCCTCCCGAAGATGGTTCCCCCACCATGGAAAATCGGTGACGAGAATGACGAGATACAGAAGCCTAGCGAGAAGAAACTCGGGTTTCACAACTACCAACTATCAAGTTTTAGCCACACCCACACATTACGATTTACAGAGGAGAAGAACCAAGTTACTAATTGCTTAATTGATTGGGGTACTCGGGGCCAGATCATCTCAGATCAGATGAATATCTTGATGGAAAAGGTGAGCAAACGATGGAAGAGAAATGAGTAAATGAAAAACAAATTCTGAATTTTAATAATGGAGGAGGACAACAACATATTTCGTTAAGGGAGACACGATCAAAGTAGGAGATCCCCCAGCCACCTGGCTAATAAAGCATTAATCCACACATGCATGCAATAATGGAAGCCTGTGTTTTCACGATTAGTTCTAAAATATGTACAAAGAACAAAGAACAAAGACAACCCGGAAAAGGGAGGGCGGGGAGCAACCAAAATTATGCAGTTAGTTTAACAAAAAGTCCAAAATACACAAAACCAAATAGAATTACACAATAAATCCTAGTGTAGTCGTCCCATATACCATTGAGAGGCTCTCCCTTTGTGTACAAATATCCATACCATCCCCCAATTCCTAGCGCCATTAATGTTTTCCCCAAGCACATCTCTCTCAAGCCAATTGATGACAAGAATAGAGGAGTCCTGGTTAAGCCTCCACAATCCAACCATCGTGGCAATGTTGAGTCCTCTTTATGCTCAACAGTTCAGAAGTCGAACTCCCCAGTCGCCTGCAGAAAGCAAGGACCAATAATGGAAGCTTCACACATAAGAACTTGAAAATTTATATGACCAAGGATACGGGAAAAGGGCAAAAAAAAAAAAAAGATATAAACTCTTTTTCCACTCAAAACACCCAGAAGATCAAGAGAACACGTAGCTATAGAATTTAGAATTTATCCCATAAAACACACCTTAGTGAAGAGGATATCCTTATCATTAATGTGCATAATGCCATCCTTGAGTGTGCATTTCCATTTGCTTTTTGTCCTTGTCACCTGTTTATCCATATATGTCGGGCAACATAAAAGTTGTTATCAATTATATTACTAAGTTCTTACTTTCTACAAGTACTCCATGACTTTTGCATTAGAAGCATGTACTGATGAGTTTTACCTTGTCAAACTGCGCCAGAACTAACTGCTGTGCGTTTGGTTCGTCTCCCTGATCCACATCATCAAAATCATCATCGTCATCGTTTTCATTTAAAGGTGGTTCATCATCATCATCATCCCCAACTTCACTTTGTGTGATAACAGCTGGCGTGCCTGTTTGTAAATCTAAACATTTGCAATAAAAGACAGCTTATACTTGTTAGTTTGTCAAAAAAAATTAAAAAAAAAAAATAGTTTTCTTGTCTATATCAAAATAATGCATATTTAAGGAGTTCCATCCAAAAAGGGGAAAAAGTACCTTGGCCCGGTGTGTTCACTGCATTGTAGTCTTCACTTGCAACTCCTTGATAAGGGTATAACTTCATGTTGAAATGAAAAATCAGCATTATATGAAAGGGGAAAAAACTCATTTATGCATATGCAGGACTCTAATAAGAGGCTGCTGGCAATGAAAACTAAGCATTATAAGAAAGCAAAATGAACTCACTTATGCATGTGGACTCTATTGATGGTCTCTGGCTAGCAATCCAAACTAGCCAAATGCTCAACCACATGAAGGGAAGGACAAAAACCAAACTCAAAGTTCAGAAATATGTTGAAGGCTATTTGGTAACGTCTGAAATTGTTTTTGAGCAAATTATTGCTTTATCTTTTTGTGGATAAAATGATTAAATAATAAAATATTCAAGGGTATAGTAGTCTATTCAACTTCAACTTCAGCCATAGGAGCACACAACCTCCTTAAAAACTTATTCACTAAAAGCAATTATCAAAAAAAAAAACAACTTATTCTCTAAAAGACAAAGCAATAAGCTTTTGAGTTCAGCCATTTCAACTGTTATCAAATGGCCCCCAGTCATCCAATCAATGATATGCAATACCAGAGAAAGGTGATGCAAATGCTGTACACAGAACAGTGTCAATCCTAACTACCATTCAAATTACAATCAAATATAAGGCATCTTTCAAATCCTAACCACCAATTAGCAGCCAACTTGCAAGTATCCCAAAAATGTCCTTGTAAGGTTTCATTTAAAAAGAAAAAAAGAGAGGGGGATCTAACTGATCCAGCAAGGTTCCTAATATCTCTAATAGTCTGCATGATTAATTAAGATTCACATGTGAGGTATCCAACCCTTTTGACCATCCACAATGAATTTCTTTTGAGGCTACTTTTGCCCTAAACAATGTATTCCATGCAAATACTGTGGGTAGCCAGAACCACACATGAGAAGAAGCATAAATATGTGATCCTTAAGCATGATATGGTGGGCTTTGGACAAGAAGGGAGTTCCAAAATAGGTATATGGACCTAAGGATATGAATTTAGAACACTTGTAGGAGAGATACTAGATTTTATAGTTACAAAGGGGCTTCACCAAAGCTCAGCACTTGGTTCTTGTTTATTGCACTAGTCATGGATGAATTGACCAAACATATTCAACAGGAGGTCTCATGGTGTTTGTTGTTTGCTAATGATATAGAATTAACTGATGAAACTAACAAAGATTAAATACAAAATCAGGTTAATGGGCAAATACCTTAGAAACAAGAGGTTTTAAAATAAGTAGGACTAAAATAGAACACATGCAATGCAAATTTAAATAAGGAGTACAAATCAAGGTGCACTTAGGATTAGAGACAAAGAGATAACTCAATTTGACCTCCTCCGTTACCTTTGTTTAATAATTCACAACAAGAGAGAGATTGAGGTCGATGCCACCCATAGAATTCACAACAAGAGAGAGATTGAGATCAGTTATATAGGGAATGATATGCTAAGGGGGATGTAGGGTATAAATTGGTAGGTAGACAAGGGCCTATATCCTATGCTTTTTTTTTGAGAGAAGGTAACAGAATTTTATTAGATAAAATAAAGAGTACATAAGGAGATGTACAACATAAACGAGGAAACCCCTGGGGATTACACTGGAATCAAGTTGTCACTATACATTACATCCATGTGTGCTCCTAACTTATCTAAACCATCCACAATAGAGTTTAGTTCCCTCAGAATCCAAATCAGATTAGCACTCAGCAGATCCAGTTTTCTTACACACATCAGTTTCTTATACCTTGTAACATACATTCACAATCTTTTACTAATAAAATAATTTAATGGCTGCTGATCAGGAAAAAAAAAGCCAACTACAGACTAAATGTTTAGATGAAAAAAGGTGCAATGTTTAGGTGGTAAATAGGTTGAATTAAGGAAAACCAATAGAACTGTAGAAATTTCAATCTAGATCTGACAGATATTTGAAAAGAAGAGATTATTTTACTCAGATGCATGTATTTACCGTCTGTTTTTCCTCAAGGTTCAGTTTGGAAGGAGTACAAATACAAATATGTGCAGTACAAATACATACAAAATACAAGGTTTTGCGCTTTACTAGGGCTGGCAATCTTGACCCTAACCCTTTTGACCCACCCAGCCCACCCATACCCACCCAATTTATTGGTAGGTCAATATGGGTCGAGTAACCCATTAGGGTCATTGGAAAAGGGTTAGAGTGGGTTGGGTCGAGGGTACCCATTAGGATCAGGATGGGTTGGGTCGCACAGGTCAAGATGGGTTGGGTCAAAGTCAAGTTAATCTATACTCGCCAAATCTCAAAAAATGGGAGTTATAATGATTCGAACTCAAGCCTCCAAGTATGACAACATCTCATTACACTTCCTAACCACTATGCCACATTTCATTTTGAGAATAAAAGTGAAATAAAATAGATTTTATTAACTTTCGTGGTCACATGCAATTTTATACAAAAGCACTTTTACAAAAGCAATTTTATAAAGTAATTATATAAGGACTTTTATGAAAGCACTTTTACACGAAAGTACTTTTATGAAAGTACTTTTATGAAATCACAAAAGCACTTTTATAAAAGTACTTTTACACGAAAGTACTTTTATTAAAGTACTTTTACAAAAACACTTTTATGAAAGCATAAAAGTACTTTTACGAAAGTACTTTTATGACGAAAACACTTTTATGAAAGCATAAAATAACTTTTATAAAAGTACTTTTACAAAAGCACTTTTACATAAGTACTTTTACACAAACACACCTTTATGAAAGCATATAAAAGTGCTTTTATGAAATCACTTTTATGAAAACACTTTTATAGAAGTACTTTCATAAAAGTACTTTTGCGAAAGCATTTTTATAAAAGTTATGCATTTTTTGCAATTTTTTGGTATTTTTCTGCAATTTTTTGGTGCTTTTTTTGCATTTTTTTGGTGTTTTTCATGCATCTCCTACAATTTTCTTTTTTTCATATTTTCTGATTTTTTCAGAAAAAGTTCTGAATTTTTTGCAATTTTTTTTTCAATTTTCTGCATTTATCTACAATTTTTGCATTTTTGGGTATACAGGTTGACTTGACTCGTTTTTGTCACGTGGCAGTCTTGAGAGATTATTCTCTCAAAAATTATTATTTTGTGTATGCAGGCCTTCCCGACCCATTTTTGTATTTATAAGTGAGGGTGGGTGGGTTAGTATGGGTGAGGGTGGTTGAAGGTCAATATGGATGGGTCAAGTGGGTCAATATGGGTGGGTCAGGGTGGGTTAAGGTTAGGGTTAGGGTGGGTTATGACCCTTTAACAAGAATTGATGAGGGGTCATGGTGGGTTGGTGGGTCAATATGGGTGGGTTGATATTCAACCCTTACCCAACCCAACCCAACCCACCCATTTGCCACCCCTACGCTTTACATATTTGTATTTGTACTCCTTCCAAATGGAGCCTAATGCACATGATTTTCCCCATCTTAAGGTGCATAAAAAGTAAATATGCATTAATTCACTCCTTCCAGGAAATTTTCTTTATATTCTTGTGAATTATCACCTATTAAATAAATCAATATTTTCAATTTCGTCATTAATCGAACAAGCCACATGTATGATCAATCAAAAATCATATCAAATCTGGATGTATTATATTCTTAAATGGATTGAATTTGGATAGGCATCTGATTCGAATTCAACCTATTGAGACCTCTACTTCCCAATGATCAATGACACTACAGATCATTATCCAGAGTCATAACAGAGGATCCATCTCATTAGAAAATACCTGTAACTATTCAAGAAGTTGACCACTTTATTGAAAGACACAACTACTAGACTTTTATCAATTACTAAAGGCAACTTGAAGCATGTGCCAGCAGAATATGCATACAGACAGGAGTGATCACAGTGCACGTATATAGTCCAAGTTGCCTGAGAATAAATGGCTTTGCAGTTACCCATGTACACAAGCATGAATATGTCTTTCTATATGTAGATATAAAAATGGAAATGTCAGAAAAGCATAGTTTACCCCAGGTGTCGTGATTATGTCCTCATATCCATCTGGAATTGGTCCATCATGCTGTGGAATTCTAGAAGCCATATTAGTTTGAGCTGACAGCATCTCACCAATTGCCTTCAGTGTTACAAATTTATTTGGTGAGCTTGCATGACTTGCTTAAAAAAAGACAGGTATATGCATGAGGTGGTATACAGGCTTAGTCGAAGCAAACAAACTGAAAATTTCAAGCAATTCATCAATTGACATAAAGATGCTACTTTCTACATGCAACCAGGATGAAGTCATGAATTTCTATTAATTAAATTATGAAATGAGGGAAATCACACAGAAAATCTGTTCTATTTTTGCATTATGGCCAAAATGTGCTAATATTCCTTCTATGAACAAGATGCATAAAAATGAAGCACAAAATGAAAAATATAATTGATACTAACCATATCAACTGAAAATTATATATATCAGAATTGACAAGGTACGGAGCTCATTTTAAGGTGATATACCCATGCACCAAGCATCTTTCATTATACTTCACTTTTATTGTTGAGTTTTAACCATTGATACTAGAAAAGGTGTAGAATGAGTAGGTCCTGGAAAATTAGTAACTAGTCCACTAAAAATTCCTCACTTGAAATTTTTATTGCTAATTTGACTTTATGGCCCTAATGAATATTTTAGTTACAATTTTGTTTCATTAATCTAAGCTTAAATTTTCATGTCCCAAGATTATCCTTAAAAAAAGGTTCTTATAACAAAAGACATGTAAAAATTTATCAAAATATAGAAGGTACTTTATAAAAGCACCACTTTTTCTTATTTCCTTTTAATGTCGAGTCTTAACCATTCTTTAGGAAATTATAGAACATAACATAAGCAAAATGAGAAGGTCATGGAAAATTAGTGAACATGCCACCAAAAGTCCTTCTAACTGGAAATTTTATAGTTAAGTTCATTTTTATGGCCTCAATGAATATTTTTTAATGACAATTTTGTTTGAGTAATCTAAGCCTAAACTTTTGCTTCTCAGGATGATCCTCAAAATAGAAATTCTTACAATGAAAAAACATGTAAAAAATTATCAAAATATAGAAGATAGTCCATAATTATCTGAGAACATGATAGAATGTGTTATCTAATTTATTATGTGTTTTGTAACTTATATTGATGACCTTTCCATGCAGCAACTAAAACACATTTTAGAGTCAACAATTGACAGTCTGAAAGAAGCATGTATGGTCATGCAGCTCCATATACCTTGGGATAATATAATTTTGAGAAAACCTTCAGTTTGAGGTCTGTCCAGTGTTTTAAAAGCGCAAGGCGCAAAAAAGGCACAAGGGCCATTTTGCGCCTGAGGCGCAAGGCTCAAGGTGAGGCACGCGCCTTTTTGAAGCAAGGCGCACAATTTAAAAAAAAAAAAAAGATAAAAATCAAAAAATTATAAAACATAATATTAATAAAAATATAAACTTAAGTTTTAAAATAAATGTTTTAAAAAACCTATTATCTAAAATTAAAATACATATATATATATAATATGTAAAGCATATTCAAATGAGAATTTAAAAATGAAATCAAACATATAAAACATTTTCAAGCATATAAAACCCACAATCTCTTTTTATTTTTTTCTCAATTGCATCAAGTAGCTAATGTGACATTACATTCCTAATTCTACGAACCGCCTTTGTGCCACGCCCCTCGAGGCAAGCCCAAACAAGTCCATGTTAAGGTCTTAAATTCTTAGTTTTCACACAATAATAATTTTATAGTTTCAATTGCTTTTAAGAAGATATTTTATTAGGATGAATGAATAGACAACATTACCAAATAGGGGACTCAAAAAAAGGAAAAGGCGGCAAATTTTCAAAAGGTGCATGTGCCTTTTGAATGGGCTGCACCTAGGACCTGGGCGAGGCGCCTACCCTAAAATGCGCCTCGCCTGTGCGCCTAGGCGGGCCTTTTAAATCACTGGGTCTGTCTTCACTATTAGATCCAGGTGGTCAATAAGAGGTGCAAAGCCTCTTCCAATATCCTTTGAAAATGTGAAGTAAAAGCCCATCTTGAAAGGGCCTACCTCTCAACTAGTACATGAATAATGTTATCACTCAGAAGACAAACCTATCTTTCCATTTCCTATGTACATCAAACCCTGATTCATATGGGCACATTCTCATGCATGGCCTTTATACCCTTTTCCTAATTGCTTTTATACAACTACTCTATATTGTCTAAGAGGGAAAGGAATATTATGTTATAATAAAAGGATATATTATCTGCCAAATCAAAAAGAGATCATTGCCATAACAGACAGTTCAATAAATAGGGGGAGAATCTTGGGGTAAGGAGGGAGGCCAAGAAGAGTTCGGTGAGGTGGAAGATTGACCTGTGGCTTTGCAGGTGCATCGATTCTCTAGCACGGTTGTTGCAGAATTGATGTGTTTCTTTTGCTTTCTCTGTTTTTGTTGTTCTTGTTGGTTGGTCGTAGTTGTGTGGTCTAGGGGGTGTTATCTTGGCACCTGCTCTGAGGTTGTATTCAGTTTCTTTTTTCTTTAATAAAATTTTCTCCTTTTACTAATCAAATAAATAAATAAATAGACTCTTTTGATGGTTGGGTGCTTTTGAGCACTCCAACTTGCAAACTCAAGTTATATATCATTCTTAATAAGTGGTAAGAATGATTGTTTTAGAAGTAACTATAGGAGGGCAAGAGACCCATGAGCATGTACAAAATGGAATTTCTCAAAGAGAGCTTAGCACTGAGTATGGTTGGATTTTCCTATTTCGATTTCCATGATAAGTGCTCAGCCCACACCCCACAGCATCTGAGATAAATGAACATTTCTTGTTTATCATAAAAGGTGTAATAAATTGAAGCTAAAACGCCAACTCCAGTGTTTTGACTAAACTCCATGAACCTTAAAACATAAGTTGTAGGTAAATTTTGGATGAACATTGAACTCAACAATGAAAATTAAGAGAATGATTACCCCCTTTATGGAATATGTATTTAAGACTATTTTGCAGATGTTGTAAATAGAGGCATACTTTGGGTACCATCTAAACACATGAACAAAGCAATTGACATACATGAAAATAGTGCCTTCTGTATTTTATAGTTCCCCAAAATAGGCCCTTGGTAGTTAATATTCCTTTCCCTCCCCTTCCAGCCACTACAAACTACTGTCATCATTACCTGATGAATACTTCCAGCACAGTGCCTCCACCTTTTTATGGAAAAGAAAATTCCTTATACACTCTGATTGCAATCAACATCCAAAGGATCATTAGGCTCAAAGGAAAATCAAATTGTGGAAAAGGTCATAGGATTATATTATAGGCTGTTTATAATTCATTTAGCAGCTTGTTTCCATAATGCCTTCTGTATTTTATAGTTCCCCAAAATAGGCCATTGGTAGTTAATCTTTCTTTCCCTCCTTTCCTTCCAGCCACTACAAACTACTGTCGTCATTGTCTGATAAAGACTTCCAGCATGGCACCTCCACCTTTTTATGGAAAAGAAAAATCCTTCTACACTCTGATTGCAATCAACTTCCAAAGGGTTTAGACTCAAAGGAAAATCAAATTGTGGAAAATGAATATTAGGATTATACTATAGGTTGTTTATAATTCATTTAGTAGCTTGTTTCCATAACCTTCTCTCACCATTCTTCTTATTATGAAGTTATTAATGTATATTGTGGAAAGCAATTACCTACAGCTTCTGCAAACAACATTGTTGTATTTTCACCTCTTAACAACCATCACTTTCATGGACAGTGCTAACCATGTAATTCAATCATACAGGCATTTCCTAATACCAAAAGAAAGCAAACAATTTTTATCATTTTATTTAGGAATTAGAACAACACTGCCTGTCCCAAGTAATAAATGTAGTTTCCAAGACAAGGACTTTCTAACAATTGAATAAGGAAGCCAAGTTAATATGTAGGAAAGAAGTACTTCTGCTTGAAGACCCTCCAGATTGACATCTCCAGCTCCATCCTGTTGTGGTATGTATGGGCCGGTATTAAAATGTGGGGCAAGATCCTCACGTTTCCGCTTTCCAGATGATACAAAAAAGTCCTGGATTTCACTCCAATACCAGAACCAGTAGATAAGTTCAGCAGCTTCAGTTTATCAATATTTTCAGAAAAAATAAGCTAATATTTTATCAACAGTGGAAAGGGGAAGGTTATTTTATGAATGAGGAGGGGTTCTATATATAAAGATTTTAAAACCTTGTTTTAAATCCAGATTCCTGCTAGAAGTTTTTGTTACAAAACTCTTGAACTTAACCAGTTCCTACAGAGAAAGATAGGGATTACCTGCGTTGTAGGTTGATGTGAAGTACCTCTGTCCACCTCATCCCGCCCTTCAACATAAGCTGCAAAATACAAGAATTAATAATTAGTAGAACCAATAAAACTAGTGATCTAATAATAAATAGAACCACTAAAGGCAGTGATGCGAAGGTGTAGCTCATACTTACCAACATTAACATCAACACCAAGAGGTCTTTGATTCATCCAGGGAGAAGGTGGTTGCTGCAACAACAAGAGTACAGGATCACCATTTGTTTTATAACCAAGTGAACCCAGGAACCATCATTACGCCAGAATTAAGCCTGGAACAGGACAGCTAGAAGCATAACTGGCCATATATCAAAATTCATTTTATCCTCAGAGAATGGCTTGCAGACAACTCAAGAAAATTGGAACAGAGATGAACTGAAGGACCAATGAAACAGAGTCTTACCTGCTGAAAAAAAGAAGCACGAAACAAGGCTTACCATGTAAGGACTAGGTCTTCCAACCTTGACCTCAGGGACACCACCAGTATCATGTGGAGTGGTAGGATAGTCATTGGGTCCAGGAAGGTGATACATGGAGTTGTCCACTGTCCCTGGTAAGGGCGTCTGCATGGGAGTCTGCAAAGGTGTCTGCATTTGAAAGCCCAACGAAATTATTAAACCATGAAATAAGTACTTTAAAATCAGCACAAAGAGGAGGGGAGGTTTACTGGTGGAAAGAGCATATCGGCTGTAGGAGTTTCATACTCCTCAGTGCCCTCGTATGGCACATTAAGATCATGAACAGGAGTTATAGCACCACCGGCAACCGTCTTGGGCACAGAAGACCTCTCTATTGGACCACATATGGCACCACATTGCATCATTTTCATTTCCCAGAGCTGGAAAGCCCCCAAAATAATTACACCAAAAAGAACAAAAGATTAGTTTGATAAATCCGTAAAGTTCAGGAGAAAAAACATCAGAAACCTAGAAATAGTAGAACAATAAAAGCCCATAATTTCACGAATTCAGAATTTCAGAAGAAAACTGAAACGAATCGCGGCAGGGAAAACCCTTATCAGATGACAAAAGCGAAGAATATTGGGAGTTACCGCCTGAAGCTCACTAAGAACAGCCTCTCCGGGGCCTCCATTGATAAAATCATCGCGAACCTTGTCGACAACGTCTTCAATGACGTGGATGTACACTTGGCTTGTCGTCGTGGCCATCTCTGATAATTAAATCTGAAGCAACTCTCTTAAGGTGGATTTTTGCCGGAGAAGATGATGAAAATTCGCCGGATGGAAGAATCAGAAAGGCAAATTTGAGAGCTGAAAGGCAAAAAAGCATAGAAAGTGGGGTTTGTAGATGTTCGTCTAGGGTTCAATCGTCAAGTAGCACAATAAGAGAGAGAGAGAGAGAGAAGGCGCGGACGAGAGAAGTAGAATAAAGAGGAGAATATAAATAGGTTTGCATCCGTTTACAGAAGTTCAGGGACACGTGTCGGACATTTGTACAACTGGACAGAACCCCAGTTCCTTAAGCTTTAGATTAGATATTAAAAAACCAGAGTGACCAGACAAGTAGAGAGAGCCATTCCCGACCGGACCGGCGACCGACTCATCGCCATCGGATATCATTAAAATTACAAAATATTCCCTAGCCCCGCAAATCACAACTCATCCACAACTTGTTAGATCATATCACAACGATGGAAACGCAATTACTTGACAAAACGAATTGATTGATCTGAACCGTCCATGTATAAAACGGATAAGAAAATTCGTAAGGAGATCAATGGCTTCGGGCTCGCTTGCCTATTATGCCGACTGCGGTGCTGAAGATCAAGAGATGGCACAGAATCGGTTCGTTTCTCTCCGTACTCTGTTTGAACGGTTTCTGTTCAATCTTGTTTCTTTCTGTTCTCGTTATCGTTATCGTTAATTTATTGTTAAATAAATTTGGTATCTGGAGATGTATTACATCCGTCACACAGAATGGTTCCTTTACCACTATTCTTTCCATTCTTCGACGGAATTTTGAGTTTTTAGGTTCGTGAAGGGAAAGGCATCATGCTTCATTTGCATAAAAAATACCCTTTTTTTGCAACATCTTGATTCTTGAGTTGAGGATAGAAAGAAGACATTAAAAAACCAAAGAAAACGAGCTGATATATAGTAATCAAAAGAGAAAGAAGAAATCTTGATCTTTAGAACCAGAGTTGCTTCCTTGAAAATGTTTAATTCTTCAATGTGAACCTATCTTGTTTCTATCGAATCAAGGGTATTAGATCAAGGATGTAGAGAGAGACATGAATTAGACTTTCAGAATGGAAGAGAAAGCCTCTTTACTTATAAAGCTCCCTCAGTCTCATGCATGACTGAGATAGCTAATTTTGTGCAATTCACTGTAAATTATTTCTCCCTTCTCCCATACCCACCACCCCCAGCAGAAGATTGTAAACTAATGTAAATGAAGAAATATGGTGGGGATCGGAAATGACAACCGCTGCTTGCTCTTTTTTTTTTTTTTTTTTGACGCCAAAAAAGGCTACGTTGCTTGCTCTTTTAACAAATGATAAACTACTGGCAAGCTATCTTCTTTTTTTGTAAATATTCATTTCCTAGTAAATCAAATAATAAAAGGAACATATATATAACAAAGAAAATTAAGATGTGATGATTAAAATTGTATTGTATGCGATCAACATCTTCAGACTTCGGTATAATTTTACTGCACTTTTTCAAGAAAATAGGAAGTTCTGGAAAATGCCTAATTTTTTATTAGAAATTAAGGATCTCAATTACTTGCAGAAGATCATGGAAAATTTGTGATAATGTAAGAGATATTTATAACAGGCTTATCCATTGAACGTTATACACTCCTTTCAATGAGATGGAAGCAGTAATAATTTATCAAGCGTTTTAACGATTCTGCCTGGTACTGGAATTTAGCTACCTAAAGCACAAAAGCACTTTCCAGGAGCTTATCCCAACAACCCCTTATTCTTACTCTCTCTATTTCTACTTTCAAGGTTTCCAAAAATCATGATTGAACTATCTATCAAAAAAAAAATCATGACTTAACTGATAATCCTGGTTATGAAACATTGACCTGAGAGAGCTTACTTCGTGACTTCAATGAGCCTTGAAATTTCTAAAATTTTGCCAAAGGTAATTTGAAGTAACCATTCTTTTTGTAAGCTATGTTGTCTGGCTTTTCCTCTACTCAAAGTTAACAATTACTTAGCCAAACCAGAAGCTGAAATTTTTATTACTGTTCTGGTATTTTCAGAGTTAAAATTATAAGAATAACAACTACAGGTCATTATGATGGAATTTGCTATCTTAACTCTTTACTGTGATCTGAGGCAAAGGAAAAGCCTAAATGCATAAATATGCAATGAAGATGGAAGTTCATGCATTGCATTGTATGTTTAAGATGTTTGTCATATGGAGAAAATTTATTGAGAGCTCCTCTCTAGCACCTATTGATCTATTCCTTGTATGTCTAACTGATGGAAAGTTACCTGGACACCTCATATGGGGGCGGTACTATGTCCATTCTTTCACTTTGCAGAGTATATTGCTTTGCCTGTTTACATCAAGGTAACATTTTGGAAAGTGTGTAGATTGCTTTATAGGTTATAGCACATTATACCTTTACTCAAGGTAGTGGAACTGTTGCACTGAAGAATTTCAGAGGCTGTGAAGAGCTAGACAGTGAGAAAATTATCTCCTTTAAAGAAATTAGTTCCCATTCCACATGGTAAATCTTGAGCATGATACATCATTATGGCAGTTAATTTTGTCATAATGGAGTTTTTACTATTGTTTGCTAAAATATGATACACGCCATGTTCTTGATTCAATTTATAGTGCTGATTTGGACACAGCCCATCTTAATAGACAGGCACATCAGTTGTGAAGAAACAAAAGATACCCATATTTAAAGTAACTAGTATATAGACAGTATTCTGTCCTTCAATTCAAGTAATCTCTAAATATTGATTAGTGGTGTGCCCCCTTTTCAAAAATTCAATGTGCCCAACACAAAACTGTTTGATGAAAATTAAAGCATGTGTCATTATAATAACATTTGAACACCGAAAATGACCTCAGAAAGCAGGATAACAGTTGTTATAAGATGATAAAGTAACTAGTATATAGACAGTATTCTGTCCTTCAATTCAAGTAATCTCTAAATATTGATTAGTGGTGTGCCCCCTTTTCAAAAATTCAATGTGCCCAACACAAAACTGTTTGATGGAAATTAAAACATATGTGTCATTATAATAACATTAGAACATCATAAATGACCTCAGAAAGTAGGATAAAAGTTGTTATAAGATGATAATTTTTAATATAAACTGTATAAGACCCTAGATTGATACAATGCCATTGTTAATAGTCATGACCATTCCTACAAAACGTCTGATGCTGAATGGAGCAGTTTGCATGATGTGAGTGATTGATCTTCTAGAAGTCATCTAAAGAGCCACAATGGACATCCTTCCATTGAACAGACTGCATTGAGTGCAACCATATATGGAATTCCTATATGAATAAGTTCCAAAGTATATCTGGGATTGGTTATTGGAGGCTGACAACAATATAGCAGTATATATGGGGTGGGGCACATAGGTAAGGGATTGAGGAACCATCACTTGATGGGTCCCATTAGCAGTCTGCTGTGATCAATATGAAGAAGATAGGATAAATTTTGACACCATTTAAAGTATTTTTTTTTCTTGACATTTGTTTTTTCTACATGAATTAAAAGAATGAAATATAGTTGTTGTCATTCCCTCCCTTGGGATTGATTTAAAATAATTGGCTTTTTCTTGGTGTCACTTTTACCCCTGGTTCCAACCATATTGATTAACATCACATGTATGATGTATGGCATTTGTAGACTGCCCTTACAGTCAAATTGGAATATCATGGTAAAGTTTAATATCAAATTTCACAATCCTATTATTTTATTAAAATTTACATCAGTGCCCTAAAACCTTATTTGGGTGAGTTAAGATCATTGACTCGAAAATACTTATCAAAAAAAAAAAGATCATTGACTTGAAAATGTGGAGTTATTTATTCTACAGTTCAGCATTCGTAAGTCCTAATTCCCTATAGAAGCCAAATTGAGTTTATTTGTGTTCATCCATTTTTCTCTTCCCTATTAGTTTTATATAAACCTGAATATTGGCAGTTTCCTTGCTGTTCAAGTGGTCTCACTATCCCCAGCAGTGTGGAGCTGTGGGCTCTTAATTCTGCAAACCATAGTGTTATAGCTTTTTTTCATTTTTTTTTTTTTTGCATGGTGTTACAGCTTTGTGACATGAGAAATAAGCTGTTTTGTTGCTGACACCAATTGTTGGACATATATTAAAGGATTTAATATTTCCATATAGTTGGGACAAGGCTTAAATGATGATGATGATGATTAAAGAATTTAATATTTCTAGAATCTGCATCTAATGTCTTAAATCTAGGAGATAGTCATATATAGCCCTCAACACTCTACTCCATCCAGTATTCATATATCATTTGTGACCTCTAACTAAACCTAATGACAGGATCGACAACGGTAGTGTGTGCTAATGCAGTAGAAAGAGAGGAAGAAAATATTTTCTGTCATCCAAATGAACTGATCTTTTTTAACATTCTTTCTTTCCTTTTTTTTTTTTGCTAGGAGATCATTTTTCATTGTTTACCTAGGTTGGTTCTATTATTAATGCTAGCCACTGCTCACTCATGATATGTATGGCCTTCTTTTACTGTTTTCATGTATATTTTCAGAAAAGCATACAAAAGATAACCATGGTAATGCATCTCACAGAAATTATACATCTAAAGAGATTCAATGATATTCATCCAAAAATCATTTTGTCTGCTGATCCATGCATCTTCCTTTATTGATCCTTCAATGCCCATTCAATTCCCTAAGTTGCACAGCATAGTGAAAAGTAAAGCTATGTTTCACTTTTTTTCATAGAAATAATGGAGGCATCCCCTACCTATACAGAAAATATAAAGTATAAAAGCTAGACTCCCTTATATGGTATAACGTAAGCTTCGTTTAGCTGTTATGGCTGTTATGCTGCTCTCTCAACCAAAAAGAAGAAAAGAATGAAATTATTATAAAGCAGAGAAGAATATCAATGCAAATTATCTAACTTAGAATGGTGCCCTTAGTGCCAAACTGCCAATATTACCAATGCAATTTACAATATCTTAATTCAAATGTCTTTGTCTATTTTTATCTATAAATGCTACTGGTTTTAATAGATGTCAGGGAAATTATGCTTGTCATTGAAATAACCCTTCTGCCTATGTTGCTCTTTCTCTGTGCTCCCTACTCTGGCCACTTGATGTCCTCCAAATCTCCAACATAAATAACTAATAATTGAGGAAACTATTTCCCTTCCAATCCAATCAGAAGTCTAAGTAATGTCAGCTCTTCACAGAGGGACTACGTGTTGATGTTTAGACAGTTAGCAATAATGATGGTATTGGTATCAACTGTGGCCTTATCCTGATGATAATGCAGGAATGATCATGCTGGGGTAACTGTCTGAACCAGCCCTAACATGTTCATAACTTAACAGAAAAAACACTAAGTATGTTCAAAACTTACTGGTGCAAAAATTGAGACACTAAGGAATATGTTAGCTTCTTAATTTTGTGGCTCACACATTTTACACAGCATGACTTTTCACTCCCACGTGATCATCCCTAAAAGTTGGGTCCCCCTCAACATGCTCTGTATCAAGTGCATACTTGCAGTTATTTCAGCTTTGGAGTCTTTTATCTTTTTCTTTTCTTTTACTCCTTGGATAAAGGATTGGTGATAGTCGTAAGGCCCCCTTCAGAGCCACAAATAAACTTTATGGCCTTATACAAAGTCATTGCATTATCTTCCTTTGTGTTGTACCCCTTTGATATATATATATATATACATGGCTTAAATTGTCAGCAAATTCTATAAAAAGACTGATTCAGAAATCCGAAGCTTGGGCCACTGGAGATGGAAATACAGAGGGGGTTGGTGGTGCTCAGTTTGTGCTTCTGCAGGGACTGCAACCCGCCTGGTGCAACTTTAAGTTTTGAAGTTGGAAATGAAGTATCAGGCAGGTCAACCCTTTGCCCAGGAAAGAAGGGACTAAAGACAAAAATTAGAAAAAGAAGCCCCTAAAAAATGGAACCCACTGAGTGACCAATCACAGTAATTGTAAAATATTGTCCAAAGCTTTTTCATTCTGGTTGTTATTGAAGCCAGGTTCAAGTCTCCTTTAGATGGCTTAATGAGCAAGGGGAAGAGAAGAATTGTATCCAAACAGGTGAAAGGTCTCTGTTAGTGATGCTGCAGAATCTGTACTATGTCTTAGATGTCTATAGTGACATAACCCAAGATGGGCCAGTTTTATCCAGGTTGACAGAAGTGCCCATCATCTCCAGGCAAGCCCACTCACATCACCAATTTGACATCTGACATGAACAACACAAAAACCAGATCCCTAGTTCGTCCTTATCATGTCTTCATCACACGTGGCTCCAAGTGGCTCTGGGGTTATAGAAGTTGGCTGTCAGATCATCTCTGCCCAATTATTCTCTTCCTGCGACAGAATTCAGCCTTGCCGGACCGTTGCTTTTGATGGGCAATGATTGACTCCATTCGAATGATAAAGATCAAAAGTAATCTGCATAGCTTAAACTGATTTCTTTCGATCAGTTCAATGCTTATTAGCCCTATTTTCTCTCAAAATCTACTCATCCGTTCTTTGTTTGGTTTTGTATGTACTTGGACTAAGACAAGCTTTTTCCCACATATCCATTCACACTGTGTTTAATCGCAACCATAATTTAGCAAACATCATGTTGTTGCCATTAAAGAAGGCAAGGATTTTTTTCATCTGTCCTTTTTTTTTTATTTGTGGTAAGGCAAAGAGACCACAAGTAAGGTGTTAGATTCATGCACAAGCACTAAATGCGTGCAAATGTTAATAACAAATGATATATTGCACATTCTTATTACAGATGAAGAAGGGACCTTTTCCGTTTCGCCTTTTCTCTCTCTTGTTCTGTTTTTTTAGGAATGATGGAGAAGGACATTTTCATCGTTAAACTCGAAAGGTTCCTCCAGTTCAAAAACACTCCATCCACATGCTTTTCAAGTCAATATAAAAGGTTCAAAGTTTTCTGAGATGACAGAAAGAAAGAAATCCAATTAGTGAAATGGCATTTTGTCCCTCTCTTTCACTTCTTTTTATTCTCTCTTTCTCCTTTATTTTGAGATGGGTTTGTGTCCTCCAAAGCATTTAATGAAGTGGATGTGCAATCTTTTGGGTACTCGGAAACTGTTGTTAATGGCCATGGAGAAGTAGATCAGAACCCTCCTCGCCTCGCCTCGCCTCCCCAATGAATTGAATAAACCTCCGGGACCCTTTTTTTTTTATTTCTTCTTTTACTGTGCTGGGAATACAGGAGTGGATCCATCACCATGACCACCAACCCATTAAAAAGTGCCCAACAGCTCCACCTTATTAAATTACAATTTAAAGTGAAGAATTATGAGGAATGAACTTGTTCCTAGACGCAGAGTAGATCATGAGCCATCCCCTCTTCATCCAATCCCTGACTAGGAAAGTTGTATACGACAGTAGAATGTTTTGTTTTTAGTTAGCTAAAGGAGCAGGATTTCTGCCTCCATGCACCTAGGAGAAGCGTAAGACGTGGCATAATCCAATCTATGTCATTTTAGCTTGAATGATTGCACAACAGAATACGAATTTTAAGGAGTTAATAACTTAAGAAACAACTGAAGGTCTGAAGCATGAATTAACCCAATCCCAATGAATGTGAGCTTTCAAAATGTAATTCAGTCTCACTTGAGCTCCTTTTTGAAATCCTTAATTGAATTCCACTCAGAACGAGCGACTCGAGAGATCTCAAGACTGAAAGTGTAGCTAATCATCTTCCATAATTATGCTTTGCTTTGCTGTAGCAACTAGTTAACATTAATTCTAGTCTCCACCAGCTATAGGCCGGTTTCTGTTTTTTTTTTTTCGTTGTTTAGACTTTACAGGCGGAACAGGACATGCTTGTTCATTTCTTAGGCAGCATGAACTCTGTTATGATTACCAAATAAATTAAGGGGAAAAGAAGCCTTGTACTTTGCTAGGGGATGGCAATATATTGTTCATGTAGAGCTTAGATGACTAATTCTGAATAATATATAAATTCTCATATATATTTGAGAGTGCCAATTAAACTCAAACTCATAAAAGAGGATTATTAGGTCGCCTTCCACGGAGTCCTCTTGTTTGTGAGGAATCTCAATGAAGAAGCACTATCAAGACATGAATTAGGAAAGCTTACCCGTTTTGAGAATGACTGTGTAGGCCACCCAGGAGACCCAGGAGAACTTTTAAACTAAAGCAGGAATGCCTTTTGGCAGCAAAAAGGAGCTTTTAACATTTCAAGGCTGGCCCTTTTTTAACTCTTATAAGGAATGGTTATAAATCAAAAATCACAACCTCTCCTTCTCCTAATCAAGTCAGCCTGAGCCTAGCTAATTTGTAAACCAAGCAAAGAGCCAAAGAGGCAAAATTCTCTCGTAGCTAGCTAGGTAAGAAGAATGACAGGAGTTGGATCATCATGTGGAGCATGCAAGTTCTTGAGGAGAAAGTGCAGCAATGGATGTGTGTTTGCTCCTTACTTCTGTTACGAGCAGGGAGCAAATCATTTTGCTGCGATTCACAAGGTGTTTGGAGCCAGCAATGTGTCCAAGCTACTATCTCACCTTCCCGTCCACAACCGAAGTGAAGCAGCCATCACCATCTCCTACGAAGCACTGGCTCGTATGCGAGATCCCATATATGGCTGTGTTGCACATATCCTTGCACTTCAACAGCAGGTTTTTTTATTTTTATCATCATTAATACAAGTGCAGTTTTGCTTCTCTTTCTTTAATTATTAATTTAAACCTTTTACTCGACAAATGAAACATCAATACAAATTGCAGGTGGTAAATCTCCAAGAGGAGATAGAGTTTCTCGAGAATCAAGTAGCAAATCTTGCCAATGATGCTGTTAGTCACCAAAGTTCTCAGCAGGCAACCAGTGAACCCGATTACTGGTTTCAATTTTCTTCGCAACGAGATCCCATGGACGCACAGTATTGTCTTAACCAGCAGCCTCTTCATCATCCATCCAATGCCGCAGTGAACGCCACTAGCACTTTGATGCTTGATAATGATGAAATGAACGCACAGCTTCCTCCTCTGTATATGCTGGATAACCAAAGCTCCTCCTACTGCCACTCTGCAACTTCGCCAGATGCCTTGGAAAGAATTCTCTCAATGGGAATGCAACAAGAGATCCTGCCCACTGACCCATGGTTTGGAAATGCCACTTAAGCAGAATACGATCGACCTTTAAACAAGTAATCTATTCTCAGACCTAAAGTCGGAGATTAATTTAAATGGACCAGCATGGTGCTTTGTTATGTTCCCAGAGAATCAATCGAGAAAGAAATTACTTTTTTTTTTCTAACTCATCCTTTACTTAAGCTCAGAACTCAGTCATCCTTCAATTCAGTCCGAGTATAATTAATGTATATCTCACAATTCTAAATCTGTGCAGTCATATGTATTTAACTCGTTGGGTCAACCCGGAGCTCGTTCAAGTCATCGTGACTGTATTTCAGGTTTATAGGACTTTTCGTTTTGTTGCAACTCACTTCTAACACGGTTGAGTCCGGCCGTTAGGTCGGTCACTCCATGCTCATCTCCAAGTTTAGCTTGCATAGTTGCATGTCGTACGTGGGTTTTTTATTCAAGGCCTTGTTTGTTTGCGGTACAATTTCATTTATACTGATGCAAAAGTTTGGGGGTGCAAATGATTTCATCAGTGCAGATACTGAACCATTTTTGTTTCAGATTTTGTCTTGTTTTGTTTGTTTGCATCGGAGATGAAATAAAATAAAGCCCGAAATTAACTAAAGTAAAATTCAAAATAAAAATGGAGCAGAATTTTCATTTTTCTATTTGCACTTCCATGCATTTATACTAGTGCAAATTAAATTGCATTACAAACAAACAAAGGGTTTCTTAAACTTCCATGCATTTATACAAGGATAATCGTTGTTCCTCAGTTATTATCATGCACAGGGAGGAAAGTCCATGGATCCGAATGTGTACCTCATCCTATAGGTAGGTTCTCCGTCTCTCTCTGGTAAAGAAATCCTCCACCGCTTGCACCTCCAGAAAAGCCAGTGGCTTCCTATACTTGTATGGGATGTCGAAGGAAGAGGAGGTGCCGAATGGTCTCACATGAGCCACCAATGATCAAGTCACTCGAGAGGGCTTTCAGTCCCTACGGCTGGTATTTCAGTTTAGAGGAAGCAGACAGTAGACAGTTACGTTGGTATTTCAGTCTCTGGAGAGGGCTGCTAGTCTTTGCTCAAGGATTCTAGCCGATAGTTGACAGTTGGTATTTCAGTTTGCCTGAAATTACTAGTCTGAGAACAATGCATGATTTCACCTCCTGAGTCCTGACAGTGGACGGTTTTCCCTCTCCCTTTCTATTCCTCGTTCGTTTCACTCTTGTGGGTTCGTTATTGATGATATTAGAATTACTAATGTTTGCAGTGTTTCTCTGGCTTTGCTATGTTCTCTTTGCCATTAAAATTGAGCAATAGTGTGTACGATAAGGTGGGTACATAAACGAAAAGGAAGATCTAAAATCGGAGAGATGGAGAAACAGAAGCTGGGATTTTGGAAGGAAGTGTGTTGGCGAGTAAGTGGCAGCTGGCGGGAAGGAAGGATTATGGGCTTCTCTTGTAGTCTCTTCTCCTTTGTCTTCACTTTGTTCTTCTGCTCTTGCCGAACTGTCAATCCAATTATATTGAAAGTTGAAACCAAAGAAGTGGATTTCAATTTTCACCAACTTTGGCTCCTTCATGCCCCTCCTTAAGCCTTGGTTAAGTGTTCCATCTCTCTCTCTCTCTTCTTCTTCCCCCCATCGATCTCACCTCCCCTGTTTCAGTCTGAGAGCATACCGCCTTTGCTACTGGCGGTGGTCTCTCTCTTCTTTCAGCTCCTATAAAGAAGGGTCATCCCTTTGATTCCTCTCCTATGCCCAACCAAAACTCTCCAGCGCCCATCATCATTTTTTCGACGAAATTCTGGAATCAAAGATCATTAGTGATAGTGAGACCAGCCGAAACATCATTGTCAACCAGGCATAGTCCAAAGGAAGATGGTGGGGACAAAGGATTCCGCAACAGTGGTGGTGGTTATGGCAATGGAGGCGGCTATGGTAGTGTTGTGACAGTGGTGGATATAGCCGTGGTGGTGGTGGCTATGGTCGTGATCGCAGAAGACATGAACCTCACAAACAAAGGGTATTTTTGGAATTTCTGAAAAAAAGTATCAGTCACATGATATTATATGTGACACAATGTGACGGAAAACTAACCCTAGGGGAGGATTTAGTCAGTTGTCAGAAAACTTGAGGGTATCTTAAGACAATATGTAAACAGTAAGGTAGATTTAGTCAATTAGCTAAACCATAAGATAGTTTAAGAAATTTATCCTATTTATTATTAGTTAACGACTTGTGAGTTGACTTGCTAAGTTACCAAACAAACTAATTGCATCTTTACTTTTCTTCAAAAATTCTTTACTCTTTTTAATCAGTTTGGATCAAATAGGCACAATGTTGTAAGTATGTTAAGTGAGCACTTAGAAAATATTTTAACGCCTATTCCTTAAAATACCCCACCCTAAAAACGATTAAAAACCACTTTTGGCGATTGTCAAAATATTTATCAAGTGCTCATTGAACGTGCTTATTATATTGTGCCTACTAGATCCAGTCCCCTTTCAATTAAGTTGTGTGTGCCTTTAAACCAACCATCCAACTAAACTATAAATTAACAACAATGGTTGTAGATTCCCTGCAATCAAAGGATGCCACATGGCAAGTATATGTGCAACATTCTGTGAATGTAGGAAAGCTGTAGCTCTTTCTCCAGCAAAACCATAATATGAATTAATTCAATAAGTGATGAAGGATGATTTGACTCGACCTATGAAACGGCGACACGTGGACGCTAACTCAGCGTAAAAGACATCTCAACATTGTGTTCCGGTACGGCTAAGTGATAGGCTCATAAAGCAGCCCGCTACGCGGTGGCAAGGTAAAGGAGAGGCTCGCTACAACGCGAGCTCCAGGTTCCCCGAGCTACCAATAAGGGAATACTACAATAATATTTCAACTCGCGAGCTAGGGAAACCAGCTCGCTCTAGCACCTGGGCAGAAGACTGCCCCAAAGACCAACCTTGATGAGGATCACCTCGAAGTACCCCAAAGAGCTTGCTGCAAAGTAGCTCGTGCCAAGGATAGCTCGCTACGAGGTAGCTTGCGACTGAGTGATGCGACGCTCTCAGGAAGCTTCCATCTGACAAGACCATACCGAACAGACTGCGCTGCATCTCTCGACTGGCGGCGCAGTCCTTGTTCTTTCGACAGTCTGTGCCCACGTCTCTCGACAGGTGGAGGCGTGCCTGCCCCTTTGGGACGTGTCACTCAACCAAGCGGATAGTACACTGTAACGATCACCTGCGCAGACCTGGCAGGTAACGGCTGCGGCAGGAGCGCTCCTATAAAAGCCCCCAGGGCAGAGGAGAAACTCTTTTTCTTTTTGAGACCTCCAACCTCTCGAATATAGTGATAAGCGCGACCTCCACTCTTAGCTTTCATTTGCCCTCTTTACTTCCATACACAGTACTAACTTAAGCATCGGAGTATTCCCACCGGGCAAACCCCCGGGAATCCTTCCTTTCGTCTTCTCAGGTGCCGCTCGTTGCCAGCTAGGAGTGCCCGGATCGCGCCACATCATTTGGCGCCGTTTGTGGGAAACACTTCAAAAAGCCTTTCCCTCCAAACTCTATCAGTTTCTTCTTCTTCCTTGAAACAATCCAACGTTCATGGCTTCTTCTAGCAACGTTAGACAAAGCACAGAAATGGATAACTCCAGGGAACAGCCCCAGTCTCCTGCTGTCTGTATCGGACAGTTCACCGTCCCCTTCTCAGCGGACGGAATCCCCAACTTGAGCGTGCCTCTCACAATGGCACCTGTCATCGCCCCACTCCCCGCTACAGTCGGAACGATGTTCATCGAACCCTCGGTCGTGCCCCCAGCGGCCAGCCCGAACCAACTGGAAGATCTGATGCAGTGCATGAAGGCCATGCAGGCCCAAATGCAACAGTTCCAACAACTTCAGCTCTATCAACAACACATGCTGCACCAGGTCTCCCAGTACCAGTATCAGCAGCAGTTCCCCCAGCTGCCCCAACCCCAGCTTCAACAGCCTCAGCTCCAGCCTCAGCACCTGGCCTCGCAGCAAGCCAAATCTCGCCGCCAGAGCAAGCACTCTAGCCGAGGAGAGGCCCCCCAAAATCTCCCGAAAATCCAGGCCTCCCCCCACGGCAGACGGGAGAGACCGGCTACCCCGATCTCGCCACAGGTGGACAGGTCAGGAGGGCCCCAGCCTGGCAGGTCAACGTCGCCTCGATAGTCGAAGTTCGGAACCCCGATCCTTGAAAACCGGTTTGAGATCCTGGCAACAAACTCCAGGCAGGTCCCTTCTGTCCACAGCCATCACCAGCAGACCGGGCTACTCCCGGCCCAAACCATTCTAGATAGCACGGAGGTGAGCAGCACGAACGCCGAGCCCACCGAGAAGCAGAGACACCGCCGCCGAGCTTGCCGATCTGTCACCCGCGGTTTGCCCGAGCCCATGGGCAAAGAAGAGGTAGGCTCGGCCGAAGCTAAGGCTCCTCTCCTCTCAGTTCCGTCCCCCCTGTCTTTCGAACTCTTGGCAGTCCCGATGCCCAAGGATTTCAAGCTTCCCCCTCTTGACAAGTATGACGGGTCGTTTGACCCGAATGATCATGTAGATGCCT